TCACGTCTTTATTATATATTTCATTAAATTAATTTAATTATTTTTTAATTTTAAAATTATTTTATAATTAAAAATGAATATTTTTAATTACTAAATTTTTTTAGTCTTAATGAATAAACATAATTTTGTTAGATAACGTAAATTCACGTGAAAAGTGAAATGTAAAATTACCTATCTTATTACTTGATTTGATATATTTGGCAGTTTTATAAAATAATAGTCAATATCAACGTGAAGGTGTTAGAATGCATAAATCACTATTCTATTTTAGGTATTCATTCCCCAATACGATAGATGAGTTGAATTCCTAAAAAGGCTAACATTGAATTATATTCTAGTCTTGTGTCCTATCAGTGACCCTTTCCATGTCAGTCTTTAAGAGTCTCATCCCAATCCCATGTTAATCTATATGGGCCCACAATTACCCAACATTTGGGTATTTGGGTTTTCTCTCTTTTTTTCATGTTTGTTTAGGACCCATTCATTTTCTCTAGGGTATCCCACAAAATAACAACAATAACAAAATAAAGAGGCAATTTTATAATTACGAAATAAACAATTTTTTATTCTTATATGCATGAATGATGCAAAGGTTGTAACGTATACATTTTACCTGTGCATACCGTTTCTCATAAAGCATTTAGAATCAGGCAAAAAGGATCCATTACTAGTTTGAGATGCAAAGGTTGTTGTCGCCGATGATACCGTGAAACAACACTTCCTACATAACAAGGAAAGTGTCCATAAAAGAACGATCATATTCTTTTGCAACGGTCTTCAATAAAATTCGAATTTTATTGTGAAGGACGGCATGTCTTTCTATTGGTCATCGGAATTTGATAATTTGTCCTTGTGTGAAAGTACACCACGTTAATGATGTTCATAAATTATAATCTCTCACCGTTTTCATCAGCAAATCAAATCACCGTAAGTCATTCATTTGCGTATTAAATGAAACCGAGTTTATAGATTTGATTTGATGTTCAAACTATAGAACCACATGGCGGAATTCGATGCCTTAATTTCACAAATGATTGTGTTGTTTTATTTAGCTGACTCACCAAACGCAAGGAGCAAATAAGACCACTTTTTCACTATAAAAACTTTATCGCCAACTAATTACTGTCATTTATGCAGGGCACTTTCGTTGGCTATATGAATTGTTTATACGAGAATATACTATTCCAATAGGAAACGGTCGTGCCGTTTTAGGATTTAACAATTTAACATTTTAACAAATGATTACCTTAGATGATTTAAGAATGAAACTACATTTAATTAACACAGGGAGCAGTAACAAAACAACAAATAAAAAAAAACACCGTCAAAATTTTAAAATATTTCAGGAAATTTATTTCTTTTGTTCATGATTATACTAAAGTGTTCCAGTACAAAATGAAAGGGAAAAGAAAACAAAATAGCCCATTATTAAAAAATGTTCCCTTTTTGCAGTTTAATAATGGATAAATAGCCGTACTTAAAAATTAGTTTTTTTTTTAAAATATTTATTGCTGAAAGTTTTTTTTAAATGTTAAACCGAGATAAGTTTTACAATTAATTAATGATAATTGGAAGTAATAAGATGGAGTACAGCAGTGTGAGAGAATTGATTAAAGAGAAAGATGCAGTTAATAATGTGTGGTGGCATGTGGTGTTAATAGTGTAAGGACAGTGAGGTCAAAAAGGAGAGAGAAGAGGGTAGATAAAGTCTGGAACAAAATTTGAAACGAGTGGCCGTTGAGGTTCAAAGTTCACAGATACATACATAACATACATAACTAGCAAACAACTTCAATGCAACCAAACAAAACTCGCATTGCCAAACTCATCCTCAAATTTCAAATCTGTCTTCATTCCCACCTCCCAATAAACACAAACAAAACACGAGAAAAATCTCTCTCCACTCGTGCATCCAGAGAGAGACGTAGATAGAGCGTGTGTGTTTCGTTTCTCCGACGAAGAAGATAAGGATGACGGGGCAAGTTGTGGTGACCAGCGTTGGCGGATGCGGTGGTGGGAAGGGGCGGAGAGCCGCGGAGGACGAGCAAAACCCGGCTTCTCCGGTGGCGGTTCTGTTGGCGGCGCTGAGGAAATCGATGGTGGCGTGCAGTGTGGACAGTCCCGACGATGTAATCTCCGCCGTCCATCACCCCATGGAGATTGGATGGCCCACAAACGTGAAGCATGTTAGTCATGTCACTTTCGATCGCTTCAATGGGTTTCTGGGTCTTCCCCTTGAGCTGGAGGTTCATGTCCCTGCTCCTGTTCCCAGTGCTAGGTACTCCTTTCTTCACCTTTTTCAAATGGGGTTTACTAAAAATGCTCCAAGTTTATTTCTTTTCTTTCATTTTTGGTGCTTAGAGATTTTGTTGTTGGTGGGTCTGTTTCTGTGTAAGTAAGTAGTTTTTCTTTTTTCATAAGTTGCTCGTGTTTTTTTATTTTCTTCTAAAAATAATCCTGTTCGAATCCTCTGGAGTATTAAGCCAGCAAAATTGACAGATTAAGCTTGAAATTTATCCACTGTGTTGTGATTTTATCAATTGGAGAGTTTTATGGCCATAAACCCGTTTACATTTCTACTGAGTGTGTTGGCGAAGGAGCGTACTTTAATATTCTTCAATAAGGATTTTCGTCCGTTGCGTGGGAGAAAAGTGAAAGAAGGAGGATGTAAAACTAAAAGTTAGATAGCTGCATTCAAAAGGAGATTAACCTTTACCTTTACTATAGTTGCATTTAAAAGCGAATTATGGTTTGCCTTTATTTGCTGAAAAAATACCTAACGGTAATGTAGGATCTAAAAGCTCTCCTATTTTTTCTCAAGCTTTTGGATATACAGTAACACTTTTTGAAAAATGCAAGCAAGCCATTTGTGCGGCGTGGTGTGAAGCAAGTTTCTTTGATTTGTTTTTTGATCTGGGATTCATGTCGATTACGTTAAATTTTTAAAGAAGTTATTGAATATGTCTGTTTTCTTCACCTTATATATTTTTTTTCTTTCATAAACCTCAACTATTATATATCTTTGTCCGTATGCTGATGTGATTTGTCATCGTCAACACTTGCAGTGTTAGTGTGTTTGGCGTCTCAGCAGAATCAATGCAGTGTTCCTATGATTCAAAAGGAAACAGTGTCCCTACCATTCTACTGCTAATGCAAGAACGATTATACTCACAGGGTGGCCTAAAGGTAGGTACCAAATTTATGATATGCTTTGCCATTTGGACCATTGACAGAGAAAGATCTTGCGAGATTGGGTCATTGACTATCATTTGTGTCGTCTTTTCTTGATGAATTTTCAGGCTGAAGGTATATTTCGCATAAATCCAGAGAACAGTGAAGAGGAGCATTTAAGGGAGCAGTTGAATAAGGGTATTGTGCCTGATGACATTGATGTCCACTGCTTGGCAGGCCTAATCAAAGCATGGTTCAGAGAGCTTCCTTCGGGAGTCCTTGATGGACTTTCCCCTGAGCAAGTTATTGAGTGCAACACAGAAGAAGAGTCTGTTCAGCTTGTGAAGCAGCTAAAGCCAACTGAGTCAGCCTTGCTCAACTGGGCCATTGATCTCATGGCTGATGTTGTAGCTGAAGAGGATTACAACAAAATGGATGCAAGAAACATTGCAATGGTTTTTGCTCCAAATATGACTCAGGTATGTTTCAATATACACCTTTTCATCTTAAAATGTAAACCATTAATTTTTATAATTAACTAGTCATTCATGCATATGTTCCTGAAACAGATGTCTGATCCATTAACTGCTCTGATGCATGCGGTGCAAGTGATGAATTTACTGAAGACACTAATACTGAACACACTGAGAAAACGTGAAGAAACAGCCGAAGGAGGATATTCGCCCATGTCATATCGTTCATCTGATCGCCAATCCGAGGGAGACTATGATAGTCAGCAAGAAATGGATACTAGTGGTGAATTGAGGGAGACCAAGTCAGAAGATGATGATGATAATAATCATAATCATCATGTTAACTACAGACCTACAAGTGAAGAGGACGAGGAGGGTGATGCATCATCAGTAAGTGAGATAGTGGAGTGCTTCTTGAAACGTTTGGATGAGAAAACAAAAAGATTCTCGGAAAAACCTGAGGGGTATTTGCAAGAGAAATTAGAGAGCCCCAAGAGTTTCTCTTTAGATAATATCTTGGAATCCACTTTATCTTTTACTGAAATAAAAACTGAGAATTCCTGCTCAAGTTCCTCTTCCGAAGATGACTCAAGAACAACTCTTACTGCCGAGGAATCAAATGCTGACACAAGTAGCTCTTCAATAGGAAGCACAAGCACCAATGATGTGGAGATGATCGATAAATTTCCAGATCCTCTTTCTCTTGTTCCACTGTTTGCATCTAGTTAAGAACTGAATGTATTTTAACTTTGAAGCGGTGTTTAAGTACCTTGTCTTATATTTTGTCCCTACAAGCAGGGTCGCTTGTGTAAATTAATTGGTACACGGGTGTAGGAAATGTTTGCTTTGTTGTAGAGTGTGTGCAGTGGTTATGTTCAGTTTAGGGCTGAATTTGACCTGATTCTGATTCTCTATGTCCCAGTACCGGATTGGAAGGGGGAGTCTAGGGAGTAGCTAAGCGTATTTTCAAATTTCGAACAGGTAGTTTTGAATGCATTGACGAATTGTTAGGGAATAGGGAGATTGGTTCAGCAAGAAATGGTGCTTGCTTTGTTTGTATCTGTGCATGATCAAAATTTGGAGGTAATGTAGCATTACTGGTAGTTAAATGTTAAATTCCTTTCTCAATGGTATCGTGATTAGAGTCCTACACTATTCTTGAGGCAAAGACAGCATTCAATAGGTATTTCCACTATCACAAAGAAGATAATTTAGTTAATGCCTTGGCACCCATTTCAGATCATACTCCTATTGTTTTATATTATGATGATCGTGACTATGGTAGAAGGAGGAGTTTTTATTTTGAGAATGGCCTCAAATTTGCATTTCGTTGGCAAAAGAATGAAATATGTGTTTGACCTGAATGCTTAGGATAAAATTTCAAATCACATTGTCACAAATTGGAGGAGAAAACAGAGGTTTCATGTTGATGGATTTTTCGAGAAATATCTTGTTAAAAATGGACTTTAAGCCTAACTCAATCAACCCCACAAAATCAGCTTGTAGGGTGAAGTTTGCACTCAATAATAAACTATGAATTGGTTTTATCTCTAATCGATGTGGGACTTCCAACATATTTCTAACTTAAAACTTTAAGACAATACATTGATACTTTTTTCCTAAGCTAACTATCAAGTATTTTTTATTGGATCTATGGGAGATAAAGTTCATTAGGGACATACAATACTAATGAGATCTGAGTTCAGTCATATAAGATATTGACACTACTTTCTATCAAAAACCTTAAGACAATGAGTTAATGGATCTTCAATTTTATATGGTGTTTTACTTTCTCATTTCTATCCAAAGTGAAACTTAAACTCACATTTGGAATGCTAATTCTAACACTCTTTAATTGTATCATCTTTCATCATCTAAGGACATCCTAACCTGAATTTTCGTTAGTAATACAAAGACTCATTTAAGTCGATCACCAATGCAAATTATCAATGTGTATTTTAATAACTTGTCTAAGTTAATCATCAATACAAACTTTTGATTTTAATACCAATGATACTTTAAGAGAACATCATTAAAAAGATTAAACATCAATAAAATATGAGTTCAACCTATATAAAAGATAAATAATATATCTACTCCCAAATTTTAAAATAATATGTTTATAAGCTTTCATAATACTCAATTTTTTTATTTTTATAATATAAAACTTAAATTCACAAACCTTAAAACTAATGTGATTATGAGATTTTATTTTTATATAATACTGAACTTTTTTATTTTTACATAATATAAAACTTAAACTCATTTAAATTTTCAATAAATGTGGAGTCAGCTGTGATTTTTTTTTCCTTAACGTTAAGAAAATTACTGGAAGCAGAGGTCTTGATAGTGATTCAAATACACGGTTTCTCCACAACCACACTTCTACCAGACGAAGCCAAAATCAAATTCAGAAGTTGCAAGATGCACGTAATAAATATGTTCAATATCTGGAAATTCATTTACATGTATACATGGTGATTATGAGGCTGTGTTGTGAGCAGTAAGACAGAAGCTAGATGAGGGATAATAGGGGATTGAAAAAGTTTGTGGTGAGGATATTTGTAATGCATGAAGACAATGGTTAGATTGGGATGAATTTTTTAGTTGTATAAATTATACTAATATTGTTTTGGTGCCCAAATGTGATACCCCATCTTCCATCATGAGTGACTTCAGACATATTCCTTACGTAATGTAGTATGCAAGATCTAACAAAGCCCATCATTTTATCTTCATCAACAATTCTGGTACGCTCTACCACATGGTATACTTAAATGCAATTTTGATGCTTTTGTCGTACAAACTAAAAATAGAATTTCTTAGAGTATGTGTTGTAGGGAGATACAATACACATACACATAAGTTTTGATACTGATAAGATATTATCTGCTTAGAGTCAAGCTTTCATGGATTTGTTTTTGCTATAACTTCAAAAAGTTTTTTACCAATTAAAGTATTTTATGTGTATATAAACTCATGTACATCTCTTATTTTATCTGATGTGAGATTTTGTTTGTATCCAACATGTGTTTGCATGATAGCATTATTTGTGCGAAAACAAAGATGGTAAATGAATGTTATGGTATCACATGTGAAGAATATTTGGTAATCATCCTCTCATTTAAATTACTTTTTAGGAAAATTTTATGTTTTTAGAGATATTTTTTTTTACGTAAAGATAAAAAAACATATTTATTTGTTGTTGAAGTTTAAAAGAAATTAAGATTAGATATTATAAATTTTTATATTTTGTTTTGGATATATATATATATATATATATATATATATATGATAATTCTTCTATATAATATATTTTATATCTCTTATGTTTAAAAAATCCATAATTTCATTAATAGAGTCAAAAGTCATCATTTTTACTAATAGAATGGAAAGTAATCATTCTAACAAAATATATAGAATGAAAAGAGAAGGAAATTTTTCACAAATTGTTATTTCACTCATTTGGTAGTGAAAATTATGATTTGTAGTCTTATAAACTTGCAAAGTTTTCTATGAATTAGATTTATGAAAAATTATCAAAGAGAACTGCAGGATTAATGTATTTATGAAAATTCCATCATGACTCAAATTTAGATGAAGTCAATTTTTTTGTTGTTGATATTTCATAAATAATCATTACCATAATCGTGATGTAAAGTTATTTAATAAAATTTAAAATCATATGAAAGCATAATGAAAGTACTAAATTTGATTTGAGAGTTTGAAGTATAAGAGACAAAAGAGTACANCAGTTGTCATGCTTGCATCACATCTGTTACTTTCACTTTCTTACGGCTACTTATAAAAGACATATTCAACCATTTTGTCAAACTCAAAATAAATAAATAAATAAATTACGTAAGAAAAAGAGAGGATCTAGCTTTTTTTAAAATTAAATAAAATAAATGGATTTGAAAAATATACAAAAAAAGTAAAAAAAAAAATATTTTGTCAATTTTTTTTTTAAATAAACACGAACAAACTCTTTCAAACAGATGTGTGAAATTTCTTTTAGTATATAATTTAATATATAATAATCAAAATAACTATTATAATCAGTCTTTTGTTTTTGTTTTTGAGCATATAATAATAGAAATAAATGTGTGATTATTAAAGTTATTTTATCAACCCACATTCTATGGAGAGGTTTTTTATTACTACTTTCAAGGTGATCCACCCTTGCCCTTCAATATCATAAATAATTCCCTTGAAACTGACTGTAGAATTAAAATTCTCACCTATTAATATATTTAATTTAATCATATCTTTAATAAATAATAAATATATTGAATCCAAAAAAGTTAGTCATCTATATATTAAAATCACGTTAAAAATTGCTAAAATTTAATTTTAATGGTGTTTAATTTTATAATTGTAAAAAGTTTTATTGAGATTAATTCCAATTTGCTTACCATTGAACTAAAAAAAATAATGTATAAACCAAATGGACAACAAAAGCAACTCTAAATGTTATTTAATTTTTTTTAGAAAAATCTTAAGTAGAAAAAGTTATTATTTTTATTATTACAATTACAAAATTAAATACAAATATATTTTATAATTTTATTGTAAAGACCTATAAAAAATAGTATTTTAGAAGTGGTAGTAGATTAAAATAGTGAGACTAAATTATTTTAATATTAAATAATTTTAATATAAATAGATTTTTTAAAACACATAATTTTTTTAAAAATCATTTTTCTAGAGTTTTCTGATTTTTTTTTCTTAGAGTTTTGTCTCTCTGTTATTGAAGAACCAAGATCGCATGATTGATCATTGTGGAGAGCTCTTCAAGATAGACAAGTTATCAGTTTGAGTAAGTTGAGTTTCCAACCATTTTTTTTGTCTTTTCTTGTACCTATTACATGTAGGCTCCACTTAGTTTGCATGCGTCCTTTGAGTTTTCAGTCTGAGTCTCTACTGATTAGAGGTTCTAACAGCGTACCCTAATCGTGTTTCTGTTATTTGTAGGAATAGATAGAGTTTCCTTGGTTTTTGGAGCTGCTTTAGGACCTATAGAATGACTTGGTCATCTGTCAGGTAAGGAAAACTAGTTTCTTTGATTTTAATTAATAAGACAAATTTTATTGGATGTTTGTATGATGATATGATAATCGATTTAAGTGATTGAATGATCAGATAAATTTTGATTTATTGTATATATATCAAGAAGTAGATACAATAGTTATATCAACAAGTCAATGAGAAGTGGTGGTGATATGACATTGTAGATTTTGCCATATATAAAAGTGAGGTATGAAAATCCTTGTAGAACATAGTTTCTTAGTGAGGCTCATATGGGTTGTTTTACACCTTTATGCAAACACATGGATTGAAGATTGATAGAGTGATTATTAGAAGTAAACAAATATTATATTGATATTTTTTGTGTGAGAATTATTTGTATTGTCTTCCACAAGTAGATTTCTCAAAATGGATTAAAACCTATAAACTAACCTAGCCTTCAACACATTCGAATCGAGTTGGGTTTAAAAAATTTTACAAATTTCAGTACGGGACAAAAATGAACTCGGCCTACTAAGAACCCAACTTACTTGAATTGAATTGTGGTGAGTCAGATTGACTCACAACATGAACATAAAAAAATCACACTCTTAACTTAATAGTCCAATCCAAAATACAAGCAAACTTTTTTTTTTCTGAAATTTTAGGAGAGAGAGGCCCACACATATGACACTTCATTACCTCTCTACCTTTGCCTCTCATTAGTAATTTTCTTTTCCTAAGATAATAAGGTATAATCTAGGGTTTCTGAGTTTTTCTTTCAACTTTTATTCAAAATTATGATTTAGTTTTTTGGATGAATGATTTATTAATTGTTTAAAATGAGAAAAAAAAAAAATAAAAATATGTTTGGACTTTTATAATTTTGGTTACATATTAAAAAAATGTTAGATTGAATAAAAAAAATAAAAATATTTTTTAATTAAATTAGTCAGCTCATTTAACTTACCAACTCATTGTGGGTCAAATTAAGTTCAAATTTCTTGAATTTACTAATGAGTTGGATTGAATTGACTTATTAAATGCCCAATCTGTGATAGATCATATCAACCCAAACTAGATGGTCCGTTTTGACAATTCGATCACAAAAAAGTAAAATAATTTACATGATTATTACTCCAAAATATTGTAGGTATATCCTATCAAAAGGAAATTAAATATTTGTTCAGTGTTTAAGATAGTCATGTAGAACTTGAAGTTTAGAAAATAATTAATTGTTGGTGGTCATATAATGATATATGTAGATATAGATTTCTTTTATCATTTTACAAGCATATAAGAGTAGTATTGCAAGACAATTTGTTGCTTCACACACCTTAACAAATTGGTGTGATAAACTGGATGAACTTAATATTATTTAAAAAAGATTAGAATATTGTTTAATATATTTTTATCCTAGTTATTAGTTGCAATTTTATTAGTGTGTTACGTAACATATCTTAATTGTTTGGTAAAATATTTAAAAAGATGGAAGTAAAAGATGAGATGGGAGCATGGTTGGTGGGTGGCGACTGATGTATTAAAAGAAAGAGAAAGGAAAGTTATGATAATGAGAAAGCTTGACTTTTGTAATGCACTAGGCAGCCAGCATACATCTATCAAGCGTGTGGGCAATTGTCATTGCCATCACCAAAACCTATTATGTCTAAAACAAGTTTCTCATCTTCATCGTTTCTTTCTGTCCATGTCATTAAAATATAATGCATATTATATTAATTAATTAATTAATTAATTAAAAGTAAATTATGTTATCATTCATTGAGAGATGTTTAATTAAAAGTTTCTTTTTAATATCTTACTCTAAGAAAATTACATTGATGATTTTTAATTGGGCTGAATATATTGTTTTTCTTTATACTGTTTATTAAATATTAAATTTGTATTTCGTCATTTAAACATGTTGTAATTTCATCCTTACGCTTTATAAAATAATGTAAAATATTTTTGGTAGCACACTGACTTTAAAAATTTAGACTCTTCCATCCTTTCTGTAACCTTTTTTCTTTTCATTGTAATTTTTTTTTTCTTGAAGCTTTTGATAAAACATTGAGAAATGTCATGAGAGCTAAAAAGGAATATAATGCTCAGATTTTATGGAAAAGTTGTGGTGTTGGGAGGTGATTTTAGACAAACTTTGCCCGTAGTAAAAAAGGATCAAGATATGATAATAAACTGAACAATGCACAATTTTAAAGCTTTCACAAAACATGAAATTAAAGAGTGCAAAAACTATAAAATAATAGTGCATAACATGAAGTTAGTCTATTTTTGTTTTTTAAGATTCACATGAAGTTCGTCTAATAATAAATGCTTCTACATCATCACACACTTTATTGGGCCGCATTGAAACCTATATTCATTTGCATCTTTAGACCCTAAAAAACACTTCCACTTTCAAAGATTTAGGGTGTATCCATCTTGTGTATTAAATTGAAATATGTGTGCACTGGTGTCTTTTTCAATTTTACTTTGATTCTAAACATAATTGTCAGCAACTTTAATTAAAAAAATTGAACACAAGAAAAATAAATACAAAGAAAGATTCAATGAATAGATAAGGTAAGGTCTTGCAGAAATACTGTATCACTGTTTCTAAACGCATAAATAATAGATCTGACTATATAAATATAATCACATAAATTAACTATAGCCATAAACTGTAAATAGCATATTCACAAATTAAAGATTAAAATCAGATCCATCATTAGTTCAATTCTGCATCCATTAGCCACTATTAATCCAATAATAACTAAAGACTACCCGGAAGTAATTGTTGTGGCATATATCGTATGCTCCTTGAAATAGCAACTAAATTATCAAATTGTGTTACAAAAAATTAAAGGGATAATTAATTAATCTATCAATACAACTTATTTTACCTGTAAGAATTTGAGAATACATTAATGTTGCTCAGTGACTAGGTTAAACAATTGTGCTCAGAAAATATAATTTAAATCCAAAAAACATGGTTACCGAGAGAGAAAAAAAGTTATATGAAGGATAATACAATCAAGGGGCGTTGAGGGAAAAATCAATAAATTAATAATCAATGTGCAATTGAACTTTCATGTTACAGAAAATTACAAATTGTATTAACATCAGATGGGTCATGAATTACAATGTGAATTGTACAAAATTCCATCGTTCAGCTTCATCAGTAAGGTTTACCCTGTTTGTTATCCCTCTTAAGCTGGACCTTTAACTTCTTACCTCCTAATTGGAATCCATTCATCATACCAATGGCAGATTGAGCATCCTCTGGAGAATCATAACTTACAAACACTGCAAATTCCAGCTCATCAAACACAAGCTCCACACAAAACCCATCAAATTCATTCAATAAATGGAGCATACGCTTACCAAAACATTTGCTAACACCGGTTGCTTTATCAACAAAAACTTTAGCACTCAAGACCATACCGAAAGGCTGAAAAGCATTGGCAAGTTCTTGATCTCCAAATTCTTGAGGTATGTGATAAATAAATAGGTTGGCACCAGGTGGTCCTAAGTCAGAAATAGAAAAATAAGTAGAAAGGAAAGAGTGATGCATCCAGCATAGACGAACAACGATTTCATACACAACACATAAAGATAAGATAACAACCTTCAACCTGCCCCCCAGAATTTTTGCTGCCACCAGAAGATGCAGCAGTGTTGTTGTTTCCACTAGCAGGTGAAACAGAGCCGGGAGAAGNGAGGAGTGATAGTTCATGTGAATACAAGAGTAATAAAAATTAATGAGAGAAGATTGTGTTGTTAAAGATATTTTACTTTATACAATTGGATGTGTTTTTAAAGTCAAAATCTATAAAAAAAAAAATACAACCAAAACAATAATGTAAGTGTTTTTTTTCATCTTGTTGTGAGAAAAATAATCACCAACGCTTTGATGAAAACATAAATATAAAATAACAAATGTGATGATTTAAGACATGTAAAAAGAATATACAAATCCTAACATTTCCAAGATGTAAAAAATGGAGATATAAGATTGAATTAATGATAAAAATTAGAAAAAAGAATTAAAGAGGTTGTGGATTCAATAAATAAATAAGGGAAGATGAATGCTGAAAGTATTTCTTTTTATTTAAATTAGAAAATATTTCTATTTTTAAAAATATTTTCTACATAAAGATAAAAAATATATTTACTTATTATTTAAATTTAGAAAATTAAGATTTTATAAATATTTTATCACTTTTTTCTTTCTTTCTATATATAAAGTACATAAGATGATAAGCTCCTATATATAACATATATATTTTATATTTCAGAAATACATTTCCAAAATTCAAAATCTCATCACATGTACTTAGGGCAGGAGTTTACTAACTACTTTGCATTGACTATTATTTCTTGGTTATCAATAAGTTTTAGCTTAATTGCAAACTTGTGGTTAACGATATTGACATCATAGTGAGGATATTTGTGAGTTTGGTTTGATCTTCGGTGAATGTTTTTTTCCCAATTTCCAAACTTTAATGTTAAGTTTGTTAGAAGGTAAACTAATATGGTAGAACACGTGTTAGTAGGACTGCCATTGATTATGTTAGCTGCATATTTAATTCATTCATAATGAAATCACACAAGTTGTCTTCTCCTAAAAAAGCTTCAACATTAATTAATTAATTATATATATTCTAATTAATTAATTATATATTCTAAAAAATGTCTTCTCTTACCTGTAAACCTATCGATGAATACAAAGAAAAGAATTTACTCAAGTGATATTTTACATTATTATTATTATCTCATCATAGCTAATAAATTGAAAAAAAAAATATTAGGCGGCAATGGACCATCTCCCAGTCTATGGTCCAAAGTAATTTGTACCAATACTATAATAAAAAGCAAGTAATTTATCACAAATTTTGTTTGGTTAACAGTAGATTTACACCGTTAATTAGAGCTGTCAAAACGGGTCATCCGATCCGACCCGACCTGGCTCACCACAGGTTGGTCACTTAGTGAGCCAACCCAACCCGGCTCATTTATTAGCGAGCCAGAAAAATTCGAACCCGACTCGACCCACCACGAGTTAGTAGGTAAACGGATTGGCTCACTGGCTCACTTAATTACAATTTTTTTAAAATAAAAAAAAATTACAAACTTTCTATGATTCAAATCTAAACAAATTTCATTCCCAACATAAGTGTTTAATTAATTTTGAAAATAAAGAACTTAAATAATTTTTTCAAACAAAAACAAAATAATAAATATTTTTTATAAAATTAAAATTAAATTTTAATAAAATAAAATTAGGTATGTGGGTTGATGGGCCAATCTGGCCCACCACAGGTTCAACCCGCATGAGTCAGGTTTAAATGAGCCGGGTTGAAATCTGACCCGCATAAAAAAATACAATTTTTTCAAACTCAACCTGATTCAAACCCGTGGTGAGCTGGATTGACCGGCAGGTTGTGACCCATTTTGACAGCTCTACAATTAATGCTTAACGGTCAAACTCATAAATATATCATATATCTTAATCAAAATTACAAGTTTGGTGATCAATTCAAGCTAGAGATAATCTTATCAACTCTAGCATCACATAATAGAATAGTAAGTGGCAATTTATTACTTGTCACAGTTTCAACACTTTTATTATCATCCCCAACTCATGAAAGTCCATCAACTTGACCCAAAAAAAGTGTGAAATTTGACCCAAAACTATTTGAAAATGTTTGAAATTTGAATGCTACATGATACCTGGTACTACTGTAATAAAATACTAAACTCAGTTGGACCGTAATTGGGGTTCAATTATTCAAAAGATCACATGTAGCATTGCATTTATTATTCATCAAAACTTCAGAAATTGATCAAGATGTGAGAATTCTCAATCAGTGGGCATAAACAAAACCAAAATACAAATAAAATCATCATACTAAATTTTTGTATTTTAAAAAAAATAAAATAAAGAATAGTATTAAATGGAAGTAAAACATTTTTTTTTTCAAAATACTATTGTCCAATTAAAGTATACTTTTCTGACCATTAAAACTGCTGACTATACTGTACCATGCTTTTCACTGCTAAAACTCTGAAAGAATATTTCGCAGAACCGAATTTCCCTGAATCTCCTTAATCATGGTATGTGATCATCCAAATTTCAAAGATAACTAAACTGAATGAATGAATTCTGTAACAAGAGTATGGCACATGATTAAGCTGTTATAAGAAATGGTAATACTTGAATAGTGTGATCATGGTTTATACAAGTGAATGTGGTTTGAAACTGTGAACAAATCAGTATAGCCATAGATACATACAATTGAAAGCTTTTATCTTTCTGATAAGTTTAATTGACCACATCTAGCTAAAAAAAAGGAATAAATTGTATGAGTGTTCTTGAAGCCAGAGCAGTGTGATTCAGAAAAAGGGAATTACTTCAAACCTGNAAATAGTCTCCTTAGAACTAACCTGATAACCATATCCATTATATGGAGGAACATAACCCATTGGCAAGGCTCCAAACAATGATGGGTGCTGGGAATCACTGTGTGGTACATTAGAAGCTTGGGACTGTGCTTTCTGAGCTCTTCGAGCTTGCCTTTCCTTTTCAGTATCAGCCCATTTAACAACTAAGGGAACACTTGAACCCTATGGAAGACAAAAACCAACGTCAAACATTCAAATTCCAGTTATCTGATTTCATACACTTGTGACTCAGCAATATCAATAATGTTTGACACGTATGAGTAGTGTGCATATCAAGCAAACAGAAGCATATGACTTTGGCACTATGCAAACAAAATAAAAAATAAAAATAGTATCTACATGAAACTAAGTATTTGATGGGTAATCTCACTTAGAGAATGTGAATTTTGAGTAAATCATAATCCAATTTGTTGTAAACAATGAGATGCTAGTTTAACTCCAGCATGCAATATATATATATATTATGTTTCATACACATTGCACTATATAAGTTGACTGAAATCATGAATAAGGATTGTGCATGTTGAACAATCCCCTATCTTGAGATTTATTCAGCTTGGGCACATTTTATTGCAATCACATTATGAGCTGAACAAACCATAGGTGGAGTTCCCCTTTATAAGCTTGGATCCAGTTTGAGCCTGCCGTATAAATAATGAGTCAAGCTTTAGCCTGAAACATTATCTTATGCAAACCAATGTAGGGAACAAAGGCAGTCTTAGATTTCCAAATCGAGACAACAATAAAACAAATTGAAATAAGTATTTGTGCATCTATAATGAAATATGAGACACATGATTAAATGTTCACGTCCCTCACCAACAGAATTTTGTGGCTGAATGCCGCTTGAAGGTCCAAAATACTGCAAACACCATTTACAACTAAATTGTAATTGAGTTTAAAGGCATGCGCTTTTCCATTCTACCACAAACAATGAACGAAAAACATGTAATTGAATCTAAAATATTCTTTATGTTTATATGATTTATCATGCCCTCTGGTTGGTATTTCTGCTTTAAAGCCATATCTACTCATACATTACAACAGCAAAATTAACGTAGTACCAATAAATAGCTAAACAATATCAGTCAGATAACAATATAGTTCCATCCTTAACATCAAATTTAATATTCTTCTTCCCTCAATACAGTATGTAATGGATGAGATTTTCAAACACATTCATTATATTGCTCAAACAACTGCACTATTACCACAAAAAAGATGTTGAAAATTCTGATGAAGGTTTAATAAACACCAACCTCCATTTTATGCTTTCCATTGATTGCCTCCAAAGCAGCAAGCGCCTGGTCTTTGGTTTCATACTTCAAAAATGCACAACCTACCGCAAAATACAACTATAAATAACACTTTGCAGTAGAAACATCAAATTCCTAAATAAAAGGATAATTAAGGTATGAAATCAGTACCTTTACTTGTTTGCTGAGAACCTCTTAAAACCTGTAAATCCTTTATGGTTCCATACTGGGAGAAAAGTGCAGATATTTCGACTTCGGATACATTCTTCGGAAGCATGCCAATGAAGAGTTTGTGTTCTAGATTCAATGACAACAGAAAATTACACATCAAGGGTTGACCTCAATATAACAAAAAAAAGTATGGCACATATATGATTCTAAGAAATTGATCAGCTGAACAAAATTTTTAATTAATAAAAGAAGTATTTTATACCTAATCTTTCCAACTCGCCATCTGCATACTTCACTTGTAATGGACTGGATGCCTGAATTGGACACACAAAAACAGGATGTTCCAAATCATAATGGGAATAATATGGTTACTAAAGCACTAACTTTCCATGACAATATTGCTATGGCTTTGGAGTTAGGAAAATCAAATTTCAGCTGTATTTAATCCTTTTCATAATGTATATTTAGATCACAGCAAACAGAGACAATTTATCAAGCAAAAAGAAGCCTTGATTTTAATATTAAAAGCACATCTGCCAGTAAATAAATCACTAGGTCAGAGAATCCCCAAAATAACAGAATCATCACCTAAAGAAAAAGGATATGATCAAAATAATTTTTTATTGGACTGACTATAAAAATCTAAATGCATATCTAATGTTCTTGTTCACCAAACCACAGTTCTGTCAAAAAACTTAGTACAGTATTTGCGCTTTAATTACAGAATTTGTTTATTTCTTCAATTATTACATATTTGCTTTCTACTCGCATAATGTTTTACAGTCTATTTTTTTTTCTGGGCAGGTTTCTAACTTCTATGTTACAATTTAACTGGTTTTCTCCATTCAATTTCAATAGGACTCATTACAACAGGTACTCCTGAGGAGATTATGGCCTTCTGAACCAATGTCCCAACCATTCAATGGCCACGTCCTCAGCCTAGCAATGTCCCGACATTTAGAAGCATGGCAGATTAAGGAAAACAAACTAATAAAGTGTTTAAAAGGGTAGGTTTAGCAAACATGAACAAAGCCATAGCCTAGGGGCATATCTAAATCTACATATAAGGAGCCAAAATAATGGGATAAAAATACGTTATTCATCTTAACATTTATTACCCTTATTACAAGGACAATATAGTTGACTTCAGTATTGAAGTGTCTTTTGCACCCATACCATTTTGAATTAGAATCGGAAGATACAAAAGATTCCGGAAAGCTTAGTACTGAACCGTTTTGGAAGGTACATTATGAAGAGAACAGCAAGAAAGACAGTTTATAAAGGAAAAACGTTTTTTCAAACCACGAGTATCTTCAATTCTCAACCTTAAAGGATGAAAAGAATTACAATAATCTGACTTGTTGGAAAATTAATGAAAAATTATGGGAAGCATCCACTCACATTACATGAAAAGCGTCTGTTCATTAATTAATTGATTAAAATAAAATGCAACCAGTCAAATGTACACTAGAAAGAATAACATATGGATACTTCACGACAGTGAAAAATACTTCAAAAAAGTTGACTAAGATATTAACAAGGGTCAAAGCCTAAGACTACAATAATATTAATGCTGAAAGAAACATTAAGAATACAACAGAAAGAAACAAAAAAAAAAAAGCAAAACAGTATATTGTATGTGCCCAGGACAACTTATCTCAAGCTTATGATGCCTAATACAAGTGACGCTTTATAAACTAAAAAATGTCGGACCCAAAAAATAAATAAATTGTGGCAACCAAAATTAATTTCCATGAAAATCGAAAAATAAAAGTAGAATAGAACAGGAGCAAAACAGCAGAATGCAAATCACTTATAAGCTACGAGGGGTAAGTTGATTAGGTTACCCAAATATAGTATGTACCTCCCCGAAAATAAAGCTAAAATTAAATACATGTTTTTGCCCAATTAAGACACACTCATTCCTAACAAACACTCGTCAGCTTCAATAACTACTATAGCAGCAGCAACCATTCACATCACAAAACCGAATGCATCCATCACATTCAACACCATCATATGCAAGAACAGGTTAAGTTTATCGATTAGAAAAATAAAATTAAAAAAGAAAGAAGAGAAAAGCAGTTAGCAGCAAGTACCAACCCCGGGTAGCGTCTTCTTGTTGTGACACGCATTGACGGCCTTATCAGCCTCCTCCCTGGAAGGACAAATGAAGAAACAACAACCTGCGAGGGAAACGAAAAATTAGGGTTGGAAGGAGGCGAGACAAGTGGCGCGGGAGAGAGAAAGAGAAGGAAGAATAATGTCGGAAAATACAAGGTTGGAAAGGTACCTCGGGAAACACGAGTTGCTTTGTCCTTGATTATGTTGACCTCGTCGACGAGCGCGAACTCCTGGAACATTGCAAGGAGTTCGGGTTCGGTCATGTGCTTCGGCACTTGCCCTACGAACAGCTTCACGCTCTCTTCGCTAGATTTACTCTCTTCCTTCCCTTCCGCCATTACCAATCAATCAATGTCTTTCTCTCTCTCTCTCTCTCTCTCTCTCTCTCTCTCTCTCTCTCAGATTTGGATTCAACCAACTAATTTTAGGTTCTTCACACCCCAATACGGGACGCGGATGCCAAACTTCCACTTCGATCTTCAATTTCTCACATAAAATAAACTGTAAAACTACGATGATAATAATAATACTAATAATAATAAAATACAATTTTAATTATTATAACCTTCCACTAACGACATGGTTCTCTATTTTTTTACACTTTTGCCACTACGTACAGCTGGTACTCCTACTACTAGTGGAGTCCTGTCTCCCTGCCTTTCTGTCTTCCATGCACTTCATTTCTCCACTTTTATTTTATGCCATAAATAAATAAATCGTTTAAATTATGATAAAAAAATTATATTTTTCTTGCTGTTTGATTTAGAAACAAAAATAAAAGGTCATTATATAAATCGAGAGAAATACATACTTTAAAAAAAATAAAATATATAATTTTGTATTCTGAAATTTTATAGCGTAAGTTGGCGGAATTATTGAAAGTAAATGAATTTGATTTGAATATAGTAGTAATTGAAAGAAAAATAGCGTACTGGTAGTAGACTGGTAGTGATTGATTAGAATGAGCACATGCAACTTGAATGTTTTTTGTTGACTTGTCGTTTGTGTGTGTGAATGTAGTTTGACTTATGATGTTTGTGACCCTGTGATAAGGTCCGATATCTATCCGAATTTCGTGTCCTCCGTGTTTATTGCGTAAATTTATATACCATGACAGAAAGTTTGTAATTCCGAATATCGACGATTAAGAACATGTTCAAATGCAGAACGAGGGAGCGCATGATGTGCTTTGACTCATTCATCATTCCCTTTGTTCACACTTCTTTTGTCTTTTTTTTCTGTAACCATGTTAATTTATTGCTATTTATTGGTTGCTGAATGGTTCTTTCAGAAAGGTAATTTTGCTTGAAACAGATTATTCCTTTAAAAGGATAAAATAAATATTATAAATTATTGGTAATTAAACTAATAACAGCGTATTTACCTTCTTGAAACCTCTCAAAATTCGCCCTTTGTTCTCTGAAACTAATTCGTTTAACCCATGATGAATGTAAGGCTTATCTTAGAATTATATTATTAAACACGAAGAAGTTATATTTTCCGACGATCACATCAAGTTTCCATTTTCCAACATAAAATCATATAAAGTTATCGAATTTCCAGTTTCAATCATAGATTAAAAGCACATGAAGCTAAACCCAATTAAAGCCATAAGAATGATGGAGGAAACAGTTCACACATTTCTAGCTATATATATAGGTGGTCATTATCTTCAAAGCTACTAACCCTTTCAGCCTATACGAAAAGCCACTGATATCAAAGAGAATTTGAACTCGGATTCGATGAATAATGATGTCAAACTCCAATCAATTGCTATGGTGAATTTGCTTACTTCATCATTCAGGTGATCAGGAAGTTGACGCCAAGCATATAATCAACTGTTTAAATTACTTTACTTTTATGAATAGTCCACTTATAAACATGTTATAAGTAGTTTTGTCACATGTATTATGTAAAAAAATAATACATGGAATGGGATAAACCTGGATTAAATTTTCATAATCTAAATCAAAATATTTGTAACGAGTTTTTTTTTTACATTAGAATATAGTTTTATGTTATAGAAATTATTATCGTTGTGGGTTTAACTTGTTAAAGTTAAATAGTGGTTTGACTAATAATTCAGTTTCTATATTTAGTGGTTTTATTTTATTTTATTTATCTAATTGGGTTCTACTTTTGTAAAAAAACACGTTGCATATTTCATTACTTCAATTTGCTGGTCTATTCTTCTTTGTTGAGCTTCCATTTCAATCATTTATTTTTATCCAACCATATGTATGTACAAATAAACTCCTTTTTGTTGTCTATGTCTTTTTTAGCATTGTTCTTAACTTTTTGTTTGGGAATTCACTTCGTGTGCCTTTATGATTTGTTTGTTGTGTCTTTCTCAATTTAGGTTTATGGATTAAGGTTTTAGGATTCTTAAGACGAAGTACAATGACGTGTACTCTAGTATGATTCTGAACTAGAAGAATATAATGTATTGGTGCATTTTAATCTAAATGTATTTATTGACATAAAAGCCTAAGAAAAAAAATCATTTTTTTATGAACTAAATCTACTTTATATTAAACTGGACAATCTAAATCTAGTGATTAACCGATTTATAGAAAAATGAATATATTAATGTGAAGTTTTTAATACTCGAGAAACATATTTTATTTAAAATAATGTTTTATTAAATGAAGGTGCGACCTTGACTAATTACTAGAGGATGATGTGAAAGGAGGGGATGAATATGGGAGTTGAGGTTGAAGGGTAGAAAGGTAAAAAAGAAGAAAGGGTAGTATGGTAATAAAGGAGAAAAAGGAGGTAGAAAGACAAAGAAGCCAGACTGTCCCGCCAAGACAGCGCAAATGTTTGATGAATGAATGGATATTGCCAACCTTTCTCATTGCAATTTGCATCTTCCGATGTCACTGCCCAAAACCACAACAAAAAATGCCATTCCTTTTTCTTTTCCAATTTTCATCTTTAACTTTCTCCTTTTTTTAGTTAGCCACGTCACACTTTTTTTTCTTTATTTAAAAAAAATAATATATAAGTAGTGAAACTCACAAAACTATTTTTCAAAATAAAAAAATAACTAAAACAACGTAAGAATGAGAAAACGGAACAGAGCATACGAACCGATCTATAGAAAAAAAAAGATGGTGTGGTAGTTCCTTTTCACTTTATCTAATTTCATTTCGAGGTTAATAAAAAGTGTTCCAAATTGTAATTCAAAGGGAGTTTTATGATACTCCAAATAAAAAGTGTTCCAAATTTCACATGGTATTGGATATTTATGATACTCCAAACTCAAATTATAATAACCAAATCACTTGTGTATTAATGACAACTATCATCAAAAGACGAATAATAGTAAAATGACACACATTTATATGTTATAAAATAGTAAGTTTTTATATTTTTTTTAAAGTAAAAAATAAGAAAAATTAGTGTCATTGTGTATAAAAATATTAATTCTCTCAAAAAATAAACATAAGATAATGGTAATTTGGTATCAATTTTTTTTTACACTTGACATCATTTTTTAAAACATTTCACTTTTTTTTTAAGAAATGTAAAAGTTAACTTTTATTAAGATCATTTTAACTCTAATTAAATTGTGAAATAGTAAAATAACATTTTTTTTCATTTATTAATGTGTATGGGATTGATATGTTAGGAAAGAGAACGATGGTTGTGATGATTTGCAAAAAAATGGTGTGTGAAAGGGAACATTCCTGAGTTGGGCCACTTTCTAAAGAAGAAGAAACAGTAAAGGTCTGTTCGAAGTATATTCAGTGTCAGATTGTTCCCTTTTGGGCTCATCGATTTCAAACACTTCACCCGTAGACCCTCTAATTTAGAATGTATTGTGATCAAAACTATCTTCATTTTGTATTTAGGTTTTATATTTCCAATATTTGGAGTTAAGTGGTGAGATGAATTTTACAGACACTGTTATGTTTCTCTTAATCCTAAATAATATATTGTCTATTGTATTATTTATAATGAATTTGATTATGTTTTTTTTCTAAATTTTGTAGTGTGATATTAGTTAATCCTCTTACAATGTTAATAATTCCTTTATTTACCAAATTGGTGTCAGGTGATTTAAACATTTTTTATAAGCAAATTAATAATTAACAGTTGGGCTACCAAAATGCTAAATGTGTAATTAATCTTGAGATGGATCAAAACATTACCGGTTTTAAAATATTTTATTTAAAATATGTTATTATGGGACATGAATATATTTCAGTGTCAGGTTGTCGTGTGTTTAGACTTTTCAAGAGATATTCTATGATCTAACTGACGTTACTTTTTAAATGTTATTTTCGAAGTATCTTTTTAACATCAATAATTACAAAATCTCAATGTAAGTAGTTTTTTAAATTGATTATTCAAAAGTAACCCGGGAGCAAATATACTACTGACCACAATATCACACGCAGTACATAACTTCAATGTAGTTATTGAGACAAAATTTCTAGTGTGCCTGTGATATATTGGAAATTTGCCACATCTTTTTAAAATATTTAATAAAATAGTTTTTTAAATAATGTTCTATATATATTTATTTTAAATAATTAAATAGTAAAAGATAAATTAAAATAATTTGGATTAAATATGTTTTTATTCTTAATTTTCATAAAATTTGAAATTAGTTTTTTTTTAAAACTTTGAACTAGTTTTGTTTTTTATATTTATAATTATGTAAATTTAGTCTTTTTGATCTCTAACTTTTAAGAGTATTTGAAGTTTTAATCATGTTTTTCAAACTAACATTAAAGAAAAAAAAAACGTGTCAAAGAGTCTTTTAAACAACTTAAATACAATGAAATACGTTTAAAACGTTAAATAAATTTAATAAAATTAAATTAAAAATACTAAATTCATCTATTTTTAAAATTAAAGAACTAAATTAGATCAAAAATTTAGAAATGAACTAATTTTAATTTTTATTAAAAATTAAAAGATCGAAAACATGTTTAACCTAAATAGTTTTTATCAATAAATTAATTTGTTACATTTAAAAAAACAGATTAATAATATATAAAATTAAATTCATGGATGAATTGAATTTATTTTATTAACAGATAAATGTGTAATTCTTTTCATGAATATGCTAATAGATAAATTGATATATAGATTTGACATCCTAATTAAAAATAAGTTGAAGTGGTCAGGTGTGTGTGGTTAAAAATATAATTATCAAGTTCTGATTATCATTATCTTTACGTAATTTTTAATAAGTAAAATAAGTATTTCTTACGATCGTGTTTTTTTTCTCCTTTTAAAAGATTATTCGTCGATAGTTAAATTATATTATTAAAATTATGCTAATCTATCACATTGTTGAATTGAGTAGAGAATGATTGAAACGACTATGGAGTTTTGTTGTATAGAGTGGTGGGGAAGTTTATGTTAAAATCTACTCA